CTCTCTCTCCCTTTCACTCTGCCTCTCTCTATTTGTTTCTTTCTTTTTTTATTTCACGACCTCTCATTCTATTTTTATCCATTTCTTTTCATTTCCTTCTTTTAAATTTTCCCTATGTGTATATAGTGTTATCTCTCGGTCACTTCCTTTATATATTTTTTCTACCTCTCTCTCTCTCTCTCTCTCTCTCTCTCTCTCTCTCTCTCTCTCGTTCTTTTTTTCTCTCTTTCTCATTTTGTTTCTTTGTTTGTCGTTTTGTCGTTTTATTATATTTCATATTTCTGAATAACTCTTTCTTTCTCTCTCCCATTCTCTACCTTACTCTCACTCTGTCTGTCTGCTTGCCCCTCTTTCTCTCTCAACCGACGACTTCGATTGTTGATTATGATTTCAACAGTTAATAAAACTGATTAATGGTATAAATCAAGTGTTTTTTTGATAGAAGATTTAAACCCATCAGTCATTAACCCACCCTGTAGATAGGGTTTAACGAAATTTAAGCTTAAAGATCATTGGAATTGAAGGTAATAAATAATTAAGAATACAATAGAAAAAGAAGAACTTTTTGAAATACTTTTTGAATAACTTTTCGATAATAAACGAAAGAATAGGATGTAAAATTTTTTTTACTTGATGTATTTTTGTTTATATTCTGATTTAACCGTTGAAAAAACTTTTTTGACAGATAAGGAAGCATAAAGGCTTTTAGTTTATTTACCTACCAAATTTGACGATTTGAAAAGTAAAAGAGACGATCGAGTTTAAGCCGTTCGCCATTTTAAGCGCTTCCTGGTTTTTTAAGTTTCTCCAAGGACTGCTCTGCGTACTTGAAATCCAAACAATGAATCTGCTGAGTTTAAATTTTCCCGGATTTTTTAACGTAGTGATAAATTTAAGCATATTTTCTAGTTGTATAGTAGTGGCCTGTTTGGAAGAGTGAAGACACTGAAAATAGGATAATGCTAGTCACCGAAACAAACCATAAAACTCATACGTTTGGGATATTACCGGCATTCATTTCACTCTGGGTGAATGACTCATCGATTGTCTCGACTTCAACTGCACCAATATTCGTAATTTTTCCGATAGCGAACTTGAATACCGTAATTTCACATTGAACTGAAATTTCTTCGGTTTAGTTTTTTCAAATCTCGAGAAGAAACGAACGGAAAATTGGCTGAGATCGTACCATCCACGTTTCAACTCGATACAGTTTATTTCCTGGAGAATAGTAAATAATTATTACAATTTAGAAAAAAAGTATATTTCAAAACACGACACATCGATTCCTTCACACTTCCTCGTACTTATTTTCGACTTTTCCAAGTCCACGTCGAGATTAAGAAAGGATGAAATGAAAATCTTCTTTAAAAAACAACTACTTTAGAAATATTTTTACTCTGACATTTGGTCAGATTGAGTTTCACATTATCATAAATTAATAAATTAAAGATTGCAAACCAAATTAGAATGTTATGTAAGATGAACTGTTGTGTTTGGCATCAAATTTAAATTTTATAAAAAACATTCCTTGTGTAACTTACATAATCCTTGCCACATGATTTTGGTCATAACGATTAAAATAAAAAAAACACCATATATTTAGTATAATAATTTTAATAAGGACATGCTTATATCAAATTTAATATTCCTGTTTCTGTTCAACTCGTATTTTTCTTATGGTATGTAGCTCACATCAACAGCTGTGATTTACCACCACCAATGAGCATTAATTTATTTTGCAAAAAATATCCAAGGGATTGTCCAGGGATTGAAACATTTGTAAAAAAAAGTTTAATTTTTATAAACTATCCTATTGGGTTGTCCGGAAAATAATGCAGGATTTTGGTATTAAACAAAAAAAAAGAAACTAGTTACTTTAAAGCAATGTTCTTTAATCAAAATAATNATACAAATGAGTAATCCTGTAAACGTAAACAGAATATTTTATATAGATTTTTTTTAATGAAAACTTAAAATCCTGCATTATTTTCCGGACAACCCGATATATTAAAGGATTGTTTTATTTTTTAAAGTGAAATTGTTCAATTTTAAAAGCCTAGAGTTTTTTAATCGATCTACCTGAAGGGAAAGATGTACAAACAATTTCGTTTTGGCTCCTTATAGAGAGTGTGTAGGTACGTCACCCAATTTATTCCAAATTCGCACGCAAGAGAATCCGAGACCAACATATTTTTTTAGGGCAAATCTTTAATAATAAATCAATCTAATATGATCGAATGGATTTTTACATACCAACTGCAATTATCAAATTTTATAAGTTTGTGCCAGGGAAACGTTTATCTAGGGGAAAGGGTAGTTGATACATTCTTTTGACTATGTAATCTAATTTGAATAAAAATGTATAATTAATGGAAAAAATCCTTTAAAAAATCATATCTTCTCGAGGAAGTGAGTTAGAAAGCCCTTTTTTTTATAACATTCTACTATATTTTTAGTTTATCATCACCAAATTATTATTATGTTGGATTGGATAGACCATGAATAATAGAGAATTTTTGGTTTTGGCAATTTAACTGTGATTCTTTATGTCAAAAGTACAACAATATATACGTAACTAATACTCACAATATAAAATAAATACCACTATCATAATTATATAGTTAATAATTTACAAATACCGGGGAATAAATAAAACAGTTCTTGATTATTGTTTAAATTTGTTTAATTTAAAAATTTGTTATGAACATAAATTTAAGAATGTTTCTTTCAATTGTTACTTAGATTCCGTACATAGATCGTAATTGCGATTATGATTTTGATTTAAAATTTAGGCAAAGTATGAAGTGCATATTATCACTGATAATTTGTCACGTCGGACGT